GACTAGGCCTTAAATGAAGGAACCTTGGTAGTGAAACAGGCAGAGAGGGTTCACGTGCTGGAACATCAGCTTAACAAGGTACACCTGCTGCTGCCTGCCACTCAGCTGTCAGGCCAATGGGGCAACAAGTTGCATTGAGGTGCAAATAAAATGTCAGCTTGCAACTTTCTTGCCATCTTATTTGTTTTCTTTTGTACCTGCTAGGTGTGCTACTCAGATTTACAACACACTTAGTTTCACTGCCCTAATACTCCAATTTCTAAAGGGAGAATTACAATACAGTTTATTGCTTCCCTCAGATCTGAGGTACCTGTGATGTTTCTCACTTCAATTAACAGTTTTCTTATTTTCCCCTAGTGCTGTTTCAGGCAGCAGATCTCACCTAGTTTTTCCTGTACAGAAACTGAAAAAGAATGCAAAAATCATACAAAAACTTATAGCTCTTATCAGTTTCTAATGGAATTCAGAAGGTGAAATGCATGGGACTGAGGTGAAACGTACAGGTTATAGAGTCTCTGTGTTACCATCTGATCTGAAAATTGGTTCTGTGAGAAAACAAGTTTTGCTATAAAGACTGCTAGCTCACTTCTCTTTTCAACTTTATATTCTCAATCAAGATTTGCTTTTTAACACTGTGGATCATTAGGTATACGTTTCACAAATAACAAGAATCAGTTAATACAATGCTTTTGAGAGAACATTACTGCTTGTCATATAAATTCTAACCATGCACACCACCAGGCTTCTACAAGCTCCTGGAGAAATGGCACCTCCCTCTCTACCACAGGCTACTTTGGCACACCTGGAGAAAACTAAAATTGATGTCACTTTGTGATTAAACTCCAAATGTGGAAATGCACTGACATTCCTCTGTTTTGTGGAAAAATGTTAACCAAAACAAGACGTAAGCACTGCCATTCAGTAGTATTGCCAGATACCAGGTGTTGGTGCAATCGGTTCTGGTTTAATTAACAGGTGGGTGAGCTCTGTGACTAGATGCTTTTTTCTAGGAGTAAAGCCAATTCTAACACAGAGATAACACCTCCAAGAGCAAGCCAGTCCAGCTGAGGGCCTTGTCTCTTATTTCTTTTATCTTTGAGCAATTTATTATGTGTACAGGAAGCTATTTAACTTCCCAATTTGAAGAGGAGGCCTCCCACATTAAAACAGCACTCATACCTTCATACCTTGTCAGGAACAAGTGGCCTGTTCTCAAGAGGTTCCTCCAGGTGGTGATGACACCCATGCAGTGTGCAGCTAGCAGAGTAGGCACTGAGCAAGCACAGGGCAAACAGTCCTTGCCTACTGACCATGTAATCTACACTGAGAAAGATGGAGTCAAAAACAGGGGTACAGATAAAAGTGTTTCACTAATAGGGTCTTAATTAGTATGCACTCTCCTAATAGTCACATCAACATACTATACAGGAGTTAGCGTGCCATGTATTCAAAAGCTGTGAGAAAGTACTGAGGAACAACATTTTAGAAGTTTTACAAGTGCTAATACAGCAGAGATCCTAAGATCTGGCTTCTCTTGAAAGCAATCCCTGAGGTTTTCCATTCAGTGTTTAACATTTTTCTCTACATAAGTTAAATACTTTGTATATAAATACAAGTATACAAATACATAAACCCCTCTCCACCCCTCCTGGTATCCACGGGTAAGGAAAGAGACAGCACATTTTATGGATGGTGCTTGTACAGTTTGGGCACTTTCTCAAGAATGCAGAGCAGACTGCTTCCATCTCTGCCTCCTGATTACCCGTTTATCACTCAGTGTAACCTCCACTGTTTCATCCACAGTTTACAGCAAAATGTTGGCATCCAGCTGCTCAATTATAGTGTTTATGTTTCTTGCCCAGTTCCATGGGTGAGACTGTGTGACAAACGTACTGCTCTGCCAAGAGCACAAGACTACATGCGTAACGCCTACTATAGTTGGTAGCCCTTTAGGTAACTTCTTGACAGAGACAAGAATCCTTTTTGCCAAGTTCATGGGGATGGAAGTAAAGGTCAGAGGACTCCTTGGCCTCTGGTGCTTCTGTCACTGCAGAAAGGCATGCTCTGTGTGACGTGTTTGATAGTATATGCTTCTGCTAACTTACATTGTAAATGCATTTACCTAGGTGGTCAGATCTCTTTTCCAGCTTGCAAACTGAAGAAAACTTTTTCAGCTGGACTCTTCTTCCCATTGTTTGCCCCAGACATTTCCATCCATGAAAAAAATGTACTATTCTATGGGTCACCAAACTTCACAATTAATACTTCTTTTTGTCATGTTTGCACCTTTCAAATATTTGTTTATTTCTCTTCTTTCCTGATACTTACAAACATCCCTTGCCTCATACAATATCTTCAATTTAACTTATCAATGAATTCATTCATTTACTTTACCTTTTGAAATTTCTTCCCTTTTTTCAATACTCCTCTGAAAACAGTAATTCCTGGACACAGCATTGGTCACACTGCAGATCTCAACAAAGGCTCTGTGTGAGGCAATTTACACAATCCCTAGCAGACAAGCTTTTCTACATCTTGCACTGTAACTCAAGCAGTTTTTAGTACAGTTCTTCTTGTAAAGTCTAGAGAAAAGAAGAAAAGCAGCTCCAGAAATGATGCAGTAGCACAGGAATCATGCTTGCAGACATTACTGTGCTGAGCGGGCAACAGAGTAGTTAAGTTTTACGCCAGCTACTAATGATCTCTGTAATTGTATGCCTTGCTTCTGTGAAAGAGTCTCTCTTCCCTTCAGAACTGAAAATGAAAATACAAGTGCTGAGAGAATTTAGGGTCTATTCTGAAAAGCAGTGCTGAAGAGTGTGTTCACATGACATTTTAGGCTTCTTATATGTCAACTGATGGCAGATAATTTTACTCAGAGAACAGGTTTTACAAGGTGAATATAGAACTTGGATGCAAAGTTTACCCCATTCTGGATGTATGGTGTTAAAATCCAGAGTCAGCTTTGAAACTTCACAGAATCATAAAAAAACAGAGCCAGATAAAGATGCTCAGAAACCGTTCCGTTCATCACTCTGTCCCAGGGCAAGATCAGTTTACCAACTAATTCTAAAACTGTCGAGGCTAATCTATTCTCTAAGCTTCTCAGTGATTATAGATCCATAGCCTTTTAAGGCAATCCATATTTCACTGTGCTACCATTGGAAACGTTGCCTCATCAGCAGGTTTAAATTCCCTTGCTGTGTGTTAAATGAAAATCTTAGTTGTTTGCTGTTCCCTACTTTGCAGACTCTGCCTCAAGCAGTTCAATCTTTTAAGATGTAATGGGTAGCACGTACTAGCCATAGCAATGCTGTGGTAGATGCTGTTCACATACCAGACAGCAGTGAGATGAAATTGCCAAAGAGTTATCATATTAGGAGGAATGCGCAGAGGAAATGAGGATAAGAAGGAAGAGTCATGGTAACGGCACATTTGTACCTTGACACTATAAGAATACCATACTTGCTGATGTATCTACTGGCCACCTACACACAACAGCTACACCTTTTACTCAAGAGCAAAAAGCAGATCACCAGTGGCCTTACCAGCAGTTTAAAAACAGATAGGCACAGCGACTGCAGCCTGTATTTTTAGGGAAAGATTTGGGAAAACACACAGTCGTGACAAAAGTCACTGATATATATTCGGCTCCAAAAGGGAAATCTCCACCATGCAACAACTTTCACGCACATCAGCACTGACTGCCAATCCCAGAAATTGGCTTTTTATCATTTAAAGTGCCAGGATAAGCAGCCTCTGCCCTTTAGATCATCTTTAAGAATAAGCATAGGTTATGTTCTTTCTAATAAGGGATCGTGCTGCTACAGTGAGCTTCACTCTACTTCCCTCACTTAGAGTATTGATTACATGCCAGAGCCACTTCCTCATTTATGTGAATCAGCTGAGAAATGGCAGGATTGACAATGAGTGTTTCATGTACAGCTCATCACCCTGAAGTCCTGTAGAATTTAGTGTGTTATGATCCGTAACCCAATTATAGGCTACTTCCCTTTTCAACAGTACAAGTTTACATATGCCTATGCACATCCATGGGGTGGTGGTTTTTTTTTTTGGTGAATGCAAGTACTCTGAGTGCATTTCCTTCTGAAAGTATTGTCTTCTGTTGCAATTTGCAAATAAATTACGTCCCACCTGCCATCTCACAAGTAGTTAGATTTCTGGAAAGAGTGAGATGCCCATCTTCTCACAGACTCATAGCAAGAAAGCTATAAAGGGAGAAGTGTCTTTTAAATTTTAATCACTAAGGTAGAATTGACAAATCTGGAGTTCCTTGTTCTGCACACAGACTTCTTATTTCTTTCCAAGGAAATGGTTTTGAGATACATTTGTTAAAATAGCTAGGCAACTTGCTCATACTAAAACTAAATAGATTCAAGGCTCTAAAGTCACAAAGGCGCTAAGAATTTAAAGAAAAAGAATTTTTTTCTTTAGCTTCTGCCTGATTTCCACACTTTTTAGGTTTAGGATTATGAAGGTCCTAATGTTAGACCACTAAAGAAATTTAACTGGGAATTGGGTTCATTTCAGTTGATGAGGTCTGTGTAAAATGCCACCTGGCTAGGCTCTGTCTGAAGCCAGTGAAGAGAAATGGACGTCTTCAGATAGGAATTCAGTCTTTCTCTCCTAATGTCATAAGCTCTGTGGCCAGGAGGTGTGTTTCAAGGTCCTGGTTCTCTTCACAGAGAAGTAGACTGCAGAAGTGCTTCAGTTCCTAGTCACAAGGAACTAGTGACATTTTAGGTACTTTAGGAATCCTAGCTACCCTCCAGCTTCTTCCCCATAAGGTTTTGGGTCTCTTGCAGGTCCTGTGTGATGTCCTAGGTGTCCTGGATTGTGTTTAGGCAAGGAAGCCTGTCTCTTGCTAGTGACAGAAAAGAAACTTTACACTTTTAGACACCTTACCGTCATTAAGAAACCCAACATGATAGCATTAAAACAGTTTTGACTAATTTAAGAGGATGCTGGCAAGGTTCTGCATTTGCTCTTGAGATGATGGTGACCTAATCTTACAGTAAGTCAGTTTAGGGTCTGACCTGTCTCCTCCCTGCTGTCTTCTGGGGAGTCACAAACAAGCTGCAGTTGCTATGAGAAGATGACAACATGGCAACACAGCCATGTTTGCAAGAGTGTGGGACTCCAACACCACCACATTCAAGCAGCTCAGGACTTCAGAAAGTGGTCAGAAGATAAGAAAGGCTCAAGTTTTCTTTATACAATGTAGTAGTTATCTAAAACATTTTCCATATCTCCTATTCTCTTCCTCTTCCAGAGGAAGTTCCTCAGTTCTGATAGGACAAGGACAAGAGCTGATTGCCTCCATAGACTGTGTTAACTTGTCCCATTTCACTGGCAGGAGAATGGGAGTTTATTTTCAGTGCCTAGTACATTCTGGTTGTTTTCCACAAGGACAATAATCATGAAGACAATATATTTTACACTGAGAAGTAGTGAATTTCGGGTGTTAATTTTCACAGATTCTGTTGTGTGTTGTAATTCTGTACCTTTGGTCTGTGCGTAAAGCGCAGCACCGAGGCAGCTACAGAAGGGAGTATTTGAGAAGCTGTATCTTTTTCAAGTACCTGCTTGTCAAAGGTCTCATGAATGCAATGCATAGCCCTCTCCTAAGGCTAAGGGTTAACCGTCATCAAGAAAAGTCTCTGATCTGTCAGAGCATGAAGAAAATAGCAAGGAAAATGTAAACTTCACATTGAAGAAGATGCAAGTAGAATACATTCTGCTGCATAAAGGTCTATCTTGGCATGGCCTTTTCAAAGGACAGAGGTACAATGGCAGTTCCCAATCACCATGAGAACTGCATGAGATCAAAACCTAAACTTTCCTTTAATTTATTGCATCTACACGTCTACACCAGAGCAAGCTGCAGCTAATGTGAGTTCTGTATGTGAGATGACCAATTCCGACTGGAATTAGCACAGAACAGAGCAAAATACCCCCAGAAGCAGGAGAGTAATTTTACCTTCAGCAGTGGTGGCCTTCAGAGCAGTCTAACACACATACCTCACGTCAGGGAAAAGCTCCTAACAAGCCTTAACATTGCCTGTATACTCTTAATTCAGACTGCACATACATGAGTGTGCATTTGTCCCACATACAGGCTGACTCGTATTCTTGCTACTAAACAAGCTGTTTCTGTTTGTGAAGCTCCCACAGTAAATTTTTTATTGCTCACTCTTCTAATCAACAAATTTCTCACTTCCCATTTGCACCTTTTCCCCTTCTGATACCCTCTCTCATTTTACAAAGGAAAACAATGAAGATAAAAATGTCAGATACAGAACCAGCAAGGCTAGGTACCAGGCATGATGAGCTCTTTGGACCAAAACAACTACACGACTGTGGCAAGTCCAATAATCACTTAGAAGTAGCTTATGGAAACGATTTCTCTGGCTCCTACTTCCTGTTTTTCTTCTGTTAACTGTTACACCACTTGACCTCTTCAAGCCTGCAATCGGGCTTTTACTCCAACAAATCCATGAGACAGCAAAGGGTTGGTGGTTTTTCAAAATTATTATTTTTTGGTTACTCAGCTTTGTATTTTCATTTGCGTATAAGAAAACCACATGCAAGAGATTGTTAGAGAAGTGAACAAGAGGCTGCATCCTCTGAGTGTATAGTAGGAATAACCTCAAGCTAGTCACATGGGATATGCCACCTTTTTCTCAGTGTTGGCATATTATCACTGGGGAATAATTTACTACCTTTTCCAGCTACCAAAATTGATAACAACCTGTTATATAATATATTATCCTGGGTAAATGCTCAAAATACTCATTATTCATATTAATACCTGCTTCTGGCCATGGTTATTGATCATCTGGCAAGAAGGTGACGTTGTACTGCAAATGCACGCAGCTGATGCTGATGCATTCAGAAAGTATTCACCTGGCTAATGGGGTGCGTCTCCAAGTGCATCTGTCTTTCCATCATTTCCCTCACTTCCTGCACGACTACAGGTTTCCCTCAGGGGTCATTAGACCGTCTACTTCTCCATCTACAGAGCTGACAAGAGATCCCTTTGGACTTCTCCAGCCCACCAGAGAAGGGGAGGGGACATTCACTCTGAAGATTTAAAAAGGTGCCCCCAAACCTTTAGGAGGTCTTGTGACACATTATTCCAAGAAACGAAGACTGAAGATTTGCTACTTCAATAGGTATGAAGGTGAGTGAAACTCTTTTGGTATGTGGGTAACATTTAGTTTGCAATTTAAGATTTTTCATATTAGTATAATATTTCAGGGACTGCAGTTAATAATTTTAGCTTTTAAATAACAGAGAAGGCATATACACATAGTTAAATTTAGTGTGTTTGAAACCACTGCATTAAAAACATACTCTAAAAGACAGGATAGAATAAAACACTGTGAATCACAGAGCTAAGTGCTCTCTGATGTCCATCCCTGTTATCGATACTCTGCAAAACAAGAAGACATGCAGTTTGTTCACAGAGGATTCATGCTTGGTGCTTTCATTTGCATGTGCTGCATCAGCAAACAAATTAAAAGGATCCAGCAAGCAATCCTCTTGACATGTATGTAATCGTGATTGAAGCAAATAGGATGCTGAGTTTAAAAACTTTTGTTTCCTGAGGAAGTAGTGATGTGCTTTCCCTGCTTTTGTTTGTAATGGCCAGCCCCCTACATTTGCTTATTGTCCGATTTCTATCTTCAGGCTTGGTAAAATCAAGATGTACTTTATATCATATTTCCCTCCTAGTCTGTACATTATCCTTATTTCTGCAGGATCTAGTGTCCTTGCAAACAGAAGCACAGAAGGTGCTTGACCCAATGGCAGTTCTCACCTATATGGGACCTGTAAGAAGAATAGAGTAAAAAGAATAAGTGTGTTTGATTTAACATTCATCCTCCCATTAGATCACTGAGTATTGAAGATGAGATAGCTAGAGGTGAGGTTGGGCAGCAAGACAGGGAGAAAGAAGGAAGAGGAAATACCCTCACATTTAGATTTGAAGTTGAGAAGATTTACAGATCTGAAAAGCTTTTCCTGTATCTTGTGGTTCTTTGCTGTATACAGGGACTGCGTAAACTGACAGCAGCTGCAGTGGCACTGTTCCTTACAGTGTCCTTCCTATCTTTCTCCTGGAGTGCTCCTCAGGTAAACAGCTGACTTGGGCTGAATTCACAGCTTCTATCTCACAGGTTGGTGCTATTTAATACTTGTTAGTAATGTCATACAGTGCTGACATGTCTCTTTACTCTTTTTTTTTTTGTCATAAAGGCTCATTTCCAAAGGAGAAACTGGACTCCTCAGGCTATGCTCTATTTGAAGGGTGCACGTAAGTCCTAAGCTCTTTAAATTTGGAGGAGATAACTTTTTATACCATTGGCTTATTCCTGATCTGTTTGGCTGTACAGAAGCAGTAAATTCCTGATGATGCTGTGGAGGTAGAAGTTCTGAAGCCTGCCAAGATACTTTTATCCTTATTTCTTCTTGACTTTGAAACAGTGGTATTGCCAGTACTATTATTCATTTTTAAAGGAATCCAATTGAAGAAGGCAACTATTGGAAGAATAAAAGCAAACCAGAAAGTACAGAAGATATATATAATTGGAAGCTTGATTGTGAAACCTACTGGAAAGGCAATTTCCTTAACTGAAATAATCTCAAAGGAGATTCACACACTTGATACATATCATTCCTTATCATTATTCAGGCCTAATTAAAACATCTTCCCAAGCAATAGGATAACACATTCCTACTACAAGCATCTTGCATTATAGTCAGTATTCAGACCACAAGTGACCTTTTCTAAGGAGAAACTGGATGTCAGGCTTATCAATATTGTGATATTAAGGTTGTGCAAATTAACTTTTGAGTTTCTGTTATTAGAACAGAGTTGAGGCAGCATCCAAAATAATGTTTTGAGTCTGAGAGATCTTGGTCTCTGATGCAGACCCACAGCATTTAACATAAACATTTCTATTTTTAAAAATTCAATTCCAAACTGAACCAAAAGTTCAAAACATACCAGGCAGAGTATGTGTTAAGGGAGCAAGGTTCCTTCCAATTACAAGCACAATACGTATAGATATATAAACTACAAAGAACAGTGAGGTAACACCGTGTGAAATAAACTCTGCTGACAATTTCTGTTCATGAAAGCAAAGAATTCAGCCCCTTAATTTTATTTTTTTTTTCCAAACTGAGTAATGGACTGTATTGCTTGCATACCAGTCTTCTTTTAGTTCTTTCTGAGTTCATGTAGAAAAATTCTTTTAAAAACAATACCTCATAGGCCAGCAAAGAGACTGAAGGTTCTTGGATAGCAGTTGAGGAATGACTGAAGAAAACTCTTCCAGACTGTATCTCCTAAAGCAGGATAATACAAGCATGGAAACTTTTGGAACAACACTTTAATGGAATAAAAGATGTTTTGGAGTGTTCTGGTTCAGGATGGGCTATTGCTCGTTTCGAAAGACCTCAGGAGGAATAAATACATCCAATTTTATGCTTGTAGAATTACTGCTGCGATTTTGTGTTTTGAAAAGACTACTTTAGTGGTTATAAGGTACCAGTTACATCAGATTTGGGAAGTTGTTTTCACCCTTTCCCCACTGTTCTTGTAGAGGGACGCCGATTCATCTCAGATGAGAGCCAGCGAAAGGATCTGTATGGCAGAATGCAGCTTGGTAAGTACATGTGCACAGGTGTATACAGCACCGATCTTTGCTCAGATTAGGGGAGAAATCTGTGAGAACAGGAGAAATAATTTTGCTCTTCTGGAATCTTATTCAAGGAAGCACTTATATAACTTCCCCTCATTATACCCTTCACTCCAAAAAGCATGTGAAATACAAGACTGTGTGCCTGGTTCTCCTCTCTTGTGTACCTGTGTGACTTCACTTCCATAAGTGGTGATGTTCCAACACAGACTGAGTGTAAATAGGGATAAGAATCAGTCCCTTTGATTTTCTTTTTTCATTGCAAAGAAAAATAAATCAAATTATTAATTATGCTGAACAGAAAAAATGACAAAAGTAGAGACCATTATTCCACGTCAGACAAAGGAAATAATTTTGTAGCAAAATAAGGAATGCATGAAAAGAGAAAACACTTTTTTATTACTTTCTGAGGAATGTTAAAATAACCTCCTTTAGCAAGAAATTGATAAGCTTTTACGTGTTAGACATTTATCAGCCTGACTTTGAGCACATATTGTTGTGAAGGAGAACACAATACATCTCCTTGGGTCTCTAGTTGTAGATACAAAAAAGAAAAGAGCAATATAAAGAAGTCCCAACAAACACAACAAACTGAGTGTCTCTAATTTTTTAATTCTAGAAACACGCAGCCAAAACACAAATCCTTTATCTCTTTCTGAAGCTGCAGCATTGTTCCTTAGTTCGTTATGGAAAGCCCAAGAAGGTAAACATATTTTGTTTTAAACTGAGCTTTTAAAGGGGAGTTATAAGCACTTTTAACTTTTTAGTAAATGTACTTATAAGAATGCTTTAGTAAATGTACGTAACAGTTCAATCTAAAAACTTGTCTTTAAATGAAATATTATTCCAACAGAGTGAATTATATCAAGTTGTACATTTAAAGAATCAAAAACAAGAACAGGAGAAGCAACAGTATGCAAACTTTCATATATTCAGCTTTTCATCTGCTTTTCAGATTTTTATTGGTCTAAACTCAATGGAATGCCTATTCTAAATTCAGAGGTAGAATTAACAGTGAACATGGGGGTTTGGACAAAATATATGAGCACTTCTGAAGATAAAACAATGCAAGTGTCCTTTGTGTGTGCCAAGAAAAAGAGAAAATTCTCTGAAGTTCACAATTCATAAATTTTAGTGGTATTTTCCTACCTGCTGTTCCTGTTCCAAAAGAAAAAGTGGATGGAAACAGCCTCTTAAGAAAAAAGGTGACATCTGAGAGATCTAAGCAAAACTAGCAGCTTGTTTGGACAGTACTCCATGGAATAACACTGAAATCAGTGTAGTAGTAGCCTAACAAAATAATCAAAGATACAATAATCAAAAATTGCTGCCTTTAAAATGACAGAAAGCATTATTATTTCTATTTTCATGTCTTAGCTAATCAGTCACATTACACTAGGGCTGTCCTTGAGGTATATCTATATCCTGGAAACTTTAGTGATTGAACTTTTCTTTGTCTACAACTTATTTTTGCCCATTGTGTCTTGTCTTGCAGTGGAAGAAGAAAACAGTGATCACCCTGGCTACCTGATGGATAATCTATCAAACTGGTGAAATATTTGAAATTTCTTTAACATTTGTATTCCATCTACCCTGAAACCATGATCTATGTAAACAGTGTTTAATCTCCACTTAAGTGCCAAAAAGTTGACATATATATTCATTGCAACATTTTGAATTTCAAACTGATTAAAATTTACCAGTTCAGCCAAAGAAATTATTTGTAAAGTTCCTGTCTTGTTTAGGTAATTTTGTATGTCTCATACAAAATTTAAAATCCACTGTACCATCTTAGCTGAAAGGATGAATGAATCGTCCTTTTGGGCAATTACTTCATTCATATAAGTTTTTCAATAATTATAGAAAAACCTTTTACCACCTTCCACCCAACTGTATATTAAAGTCTTTCTATTGTTGGTAAAGGTAGATTCCTTTACCACTTCACTGCTGGCCCTACTAGTCAACACAGAATCAGGGCATCAAGTAATGACCATGGCATACAGATACTTCTGTTGTCAGGAGGCATGGTTCTGCTGGAGCTAGTGGGGGCACACTAGTTACAAATCTAGTGTCAAACATGATAACTGGCACATAGATTATTAATTGCATCATCATTGTACCATTTTGTCAGCCTGTTTTTTAAGCTTTGAAACTGAAATCATGCATAAACTGGTTAATTACCATTCCATGCTGATAAGGAAGTATGGGACATTATTTACATAGCACTGAGGTCTTACTGGGAAGCCCTCTGCAGTTCTCATGTAATTGAAAAGTCACTACATGATCCCTGCGTCCAAGCAGTTGCGTTTTATTTTGTCAGCACACATTAACTATGAGGTTGTTTCTCCTCAACACAAAGAAATGCATCTGAAGGAATGGAGGAATTAATTTCTATCACAGGACCATAGGCATTTTCAGTAGTTGTTTATAGTTAATATCACCTCAAATTCCCTTTCATCACAATTGCTTTAACATGATCATTTACAAGACGTATCTAGTGATCACATCTTCCAGCATTGCAGTGAAGCTGGGCATGGAATAATGATAAATAGATGTTTACTAGCTTGTTACTACTAGAACATTTTTAGGTAATGAAATGCTGGATCATCCTCAGATCATGTTAAAGCAATTGTGATGAAAGGGAATTTGAGGTGAGATGAGATTTCTTCAGTAAAACAATGCACTGAAATGCAAGCAAAAATGCCAAGTTTCTTGAAATCAATTTTTAACTTTTTTTTTTTTTTTTTTTAAGAGATGATCAACTTTCAGTTATTAGGACCTTTAAATGTTCTTTTGTTCAACTCTCAGCCATTACATTCTTTGATTCTGCAAGGTAGCTTTAGTTAAAACCACTCCAAGGAAGAACATATACCATTTGAGCTCACAAAGTGCAGCTACACTCCATTTAGTAAACTGTATGAACATTTGGCAGTATTTTTGCTTTCACTGCATTAATATGAAAAATACCCATTAATTGTAATTATTCATTACATCAAAATCATCTGGGACACTACAGACTCCTTTAAAATTCATTTAAGATACTGCAGTAAAGCTAGAACAAGACTTCTAACATGGTGTCTTTTCTCAGTGATCCAGATCAGCTTAAGAATGAAAATGCGATTTTAAAACTGATTTTACAGGGCTGAAGATACAGATAGGCACTTAATCACTTTTACTCTTAATGGCCTGTATAGGAGGAACTGTGCCATCAGGCGTCAGTCAAGTTTTTGAAAGGTCAATGTGTAATCAAAGCAGGCCAACTGACCCTACCCCCCCCACACACACATAGCAGTGAAGGTAAACATCTCCAGAGGTCAGATCTCCCTACCTGATAAGGAACAGGCTGAATCAAGTCCTGGAACTGGCTTTTCTTGAACAGCTTGAGGAATTCTTGATTCACAAAAAAAGAACAATTTCCTTACTAACGCCTTTGTACTGAAACCTACTTCTAAGCATATTTACTCAGCCACTCTGTATCTATGGAAGTTAAAGACAGCTGAAAATTGCAAGGCAAATCAGATGTCTGTTTCTCATAGGCAGATTCACTTCTTCCACAACAGATTTAAAAAGAAGATTTATAACCTTTACCAAATGCAGTAGGAGGGAAAGATATGGCTTTGGAATTATTTTAGAATTTTATTCAATGACCAGGTGTTGTCATGGATGTGTGAGCCTTGTTATCAGTATTCCGCACCATAACATCATGTAGTGCACTGGGAGTTAAGGAGCTAGTGGTG